CCAAAATATGTCGCATGTGTCGCAGTGAGCTCTTCGTGTCGTATTTCTTGCGTTCTTCGCTATATATGTCCAGCGGAGAACGCAAGAAATATGACACGAAGAGCTCGTTGCGACACATATTACGACACATTTTATTTTAATGTGTAGTCTATACCGATTTTTTTTAGTCTATCCAATGATATATTTTAAATTAAATTTCATAACCTTTGAGAAATAAACAACTATTTTTGTTGAGCTACACACTAAGAGTTTTGAGATTAAAATTTCCTACTATTCAGTTTCTTAAATGATAAGAAAATTTTCGAAAGTTTTTTTTTTTGCACATTGCTAAGAGTCTCTTTATTCAAATGTATGTCAACAAAGAATCTTTTTTTAGTTGGTACAATTAGAATGAATTTAATATTGTTATATTTGTATGAAGGTATAATATTATGATACCACACTCATATTCTCAAGAGTTTTGAATTTAATCATTAATATTAGTTAATTAAATTTATACCAATATGGCACATAATAGATGGCTTTTCCACCAGCGAAAAGGAAAACCTTATGATTATCTCGAAAACTGTTAGGGCCTTTCTTCAGTATTTAGGAGTCCTGAAAATTCAGTTAGTAAGTTACAGCATAGGATAAAGTTATGAAGTATTTATTGGTCAAGCAGCATCTGTTGTTTACATGCTTTACGTTTATCGATGCAGTCGACTTTATGCAGTGCTCTTGCAAACCAAAAAGCTATAGCTTCGAAACTGATCGAATTCTAAGTAGTGATGCATTCAAGAATGAACTACAGTGAATACTTCCCTACCAGCAAAAAGGAAAAAATTACAAAATATTTTGAAATTTATATATTTTCTACCGCCTGTTCAATAGCTTTGAAAATTCAGGTAGACAGTGGAACAACATGAGAAGCAACAGGTTTCAACATCCAAGCTTTCAATTTTTTCTAATACTTTAGAAAACTTCTACGGATTTCGAAATTACATGAACATTCAATAAATACAAGAAAGGATCCTGCCGATTAAGGGGCAGATTTGATCCCTTAATCGGTGAGATCCTTTCATGAAACTTCTACGTGTGAACCATTTCACTCAAGGTACAACCAAGTTGAATTTATTTATCTAACACTTAATTTAATTAAAATAAACTAATCAATGATAATTGTGAAGGGAATATCATTCCGTTTCATTTTTCTTCCTTCGAAGAAGAGTAGTTTTCGGAAATGATGATTTTATAAAACGTTTCATCAGAGATTTTTGAAGTTGATTTAATATTAATATATACTCAGTTCTTGGATCTTCTAAGCTTTAGGTCAAACAAAAAAAGTTATTTGTGTTAAAAACCCTTTTCATAACGGGAAAATTATGCTATAAATGTTGAGAAACTTATTGTAAATTGAGATTTCTTCACATCGAAAACTTTTAGTGGATGATTATAGGGAGTCTTGAGTTTCCTTCAGTAGCTATTTTCTGCTGTAAGAATCAAGTTCATGAATACCAATAATGATACAGTACAGAAAAAAGTTGTAGTTTCATGGAATATAATATATATAAGTAAATGAACGACTTAATATTAACATATAATACTTTTTATTTTAGCAGCACCAATTTTTTTTTGTAATTGACAATGTCAGCCAAGAAAGACTAACGAAAATAACAGAATTCACTTTTGCAGAAAAACTGCAAAAGTAAATTCTGTATAGACTATCTTTATGATGGGATTAACTAACATTGTGCCATTACATTGGCACTATTACATAGTGACACATATACCACGATCATTGGATGTGCTTCGTTCTCTGTATAGTATACATATAGACTGTTTATAACTAGCGAACTATTGTTTTTACTATACGATGATATCATTATACATTCTTTTCTTTTTATCTTCCATCTATACGAGATAGATCGAAAACAGGGTGTGGGTAGGGATATGCAGTTTCGGTGAAAACAGTGAAATACTGACAGTGATGTCACTGCACTGAGCGCACTGACTGCAGTGGCACACTGACATTGGTGTTCACCGAACCAGTGCATACATTGACACTGACTGCACTGTCTGCACTAAACCCCGTCGGGTCCAGAATTTTTGGACCCGGACCCGATCATTTAAAATTTTTCTACCCTGACCCGGACCCGGGCCCGTTTACAGTTTGCTGGACCCGGAACCGGACCCGATCGCTTAATTTTTTTGGATCCAAACACAATTACAAGTCAGTTTAGATAGTATAGTCAAGAAGGGTTTTGTTGTTTTTTATCTATATTCTAAATACATTTGATCTCTTCTTTGTATAAAACGAACAAAACTTTAAAAAAATTCAAAATAAATTGTGTGGATCAAAGTTTCCCTCAGACCTGGACTCGACCCGGACCCGGACCCATGCGGGTCCGGGTAGGGTCCGGGTTCGGGTCCTACCCGACGGGGTCTAGTCTGCACCGACATTGGTGTTCACTGAATCAGTACATACACTGGCACTGACTGCACTGGTTCCACTGTCTGCACCGGTATTAGTGTTCACTGAGTCAATGGAAATCAGAGTCAATACATCAGTGTTCCATTCTGCGTCAGTGCAACAAGTGCAGTCAATGTATCCAATGGTTCAGTGAACACCAATGTCGGTGCGGACAGTGGAGTCAGTGCAGTCAGTGTCAATGTATACACTGGTTCAGTGAACATCAATGTCGGCGCAGACAGTGCAATCAGTGCAGTAAGTGTCAGCGTCATCAGTGTACCGGTGAACGCCAGTGTGATTTTATCAGTGGTCAGTATACTGAAACTGCACATCCCTTCTCCCCATTTCAAAATATAAGGCACGTGGGTATTTTTTGAATAATTTTTGATAGGAACACGATAGAGAGCTGTGGTTTTCACCGTTGCGAAGAGGGTGATTCAGCGCATCAACTCATATAAAATTGTTAACGTTTATCTCAAAAATAGGTAGTGATCCATTATCATCTTGAAAGAGTAGGCTATTGTTCTTTGAAGGTAGAACAAATCTGAAACAGTGAGGAGTGCATTAGAATCACCACCTCAAGAGCTACAAAACTATATATAATGCTTGATTCAAAACTTTACTGGTTTGTGAGTTCTAGGCCCTATATTCGACAAATATAGTCCATTTTGCCAACATTTTCTGTAAAAAAACTCAGTTTTTTTGAGTTGGGTGTGAGTGTGGGATTTGTGGGTATGGATGTAGGGTGTAAGGTGTGGATGGGGTTGTGATGAGCGAAACACTCACACAAACACCGATACCCACACCCCACCCACACCCACACCCACACCCTTTCGAGAAAAGATGTGTTTCTCTCGAAAAACGAACCGTTTCAAATATTTCATATTTTTCGACTAGAAAAAAGCATTCGCTAAGGCTAAAAAGTAGTTTTTCGTCATCACCATCTCAACCTCTATGAAATGAATGTAAAAAAACGCAAAAAATTTTTTTGTTACTGAAAGTTTGAATTGCCTGCACCTTATCTTTTCTATCGTCGCAGCGTGACAACGAAGGATTTCAATTGTGATGAACATCTGTATAACAGGCACAAAAGAAGGCTCGAAGAGAATACAAAATGTTACAGTAAATAAAATTATCTAACATAATCTTTGGATACGGGTAAACTAAATTCAAATATCTCTTTCAGCTTTTTTTTCTTAGAATAAAGTGATGCATAGGAAAAAGTAAAAATAATAGGTATAAATGTTATTGTAGGTCAGAACTATTTTGTTGATGTGTAAAAGACTAAATCTAATCTGCATTCTTCAGTAATGTATTGAGCTATTGCTCAAGTTTGTTTTTATGGATGATATAATTCAACACTATCCAGAGGTTCATTATTTATGCCACCTATCACTAACACTTTCCCATCCAATAATTTTACTGCTGCATGTCGGTTTCGTGAATATACCATGCTTTCAGTTAGTATCCAACTTCTTGATGACGGATCATATAGTTCACCTGTATTCAATGTATAACGATTGTTTTCTCCACCAACTACTAATACCATGCCGTCTGGTAATACAGTTGCTGTATGATATCTCCGAGCATTAGTCATGTTACCAACAATTGTCCAATTTCTTGATATTGGATCATATAACTCGACAGTATTGAGAACATTCCAATCATCATTACTGCCTCCAGCTACTAACACTTTGCCATCTAACAATACAGATGCTGTATGATCTCTTCTTGCATTACTCATATTACCAACAGTTATCCAAGTTCTTGATGATGGATCATATAGCTCAGCTGTACTCAATGTCTCGCGCTCATTGTTAATTCCACCAACCACTAATACTTTGCCGTCTGATAATACAGATGCTGTATGATACTCTCGAGCAGTAGTCATGTTACCAACATTTGTCCAGTTTCCTGATAATGAATCATATAACTCGGCAGTATTTAACATATGATGATGATCATCTCCACCAACCACTAATATTTTACCGTCTAATAATACAGATGCTGTATGACCTCTTCTTGCAGTAGTCATATTACCAACAGTTGTCCAATTTCCAGATAATGGATCGTATAACTCGGCAGTATTTAAAACATTCCAACCATGATGTTTGCCACCAACCACTAACACTTTACCGTCTGATAATACGGATGCTGTATGATAAATTCGAGCAGTAGTCATATTAGTAACATTTGTCCAATTTCCAAATAATGGATCGTACAATTCAGCAGTATTTAGCGGATCCCAACCACGATTAGTACCACCAACCACTAATATGTTGCCGTTTAATAGTACGGAGGCTGTATGTTGTTCTCGACAAACATTCATTTTTGTAACCGAGGACCATCCTACAAAAAAACTTGGGCATTAAATGCCAATTAATACATGAAAATCAAATCTTAAAAGAATAATCATCGATTGTAACTTTTTTTCATCATACCAAAAGATATTGATAATATTAAAATGGTTCCTATTAAGTAAAGTCCACTAAATGTTGAGTAAAATAGACTGTATTGACTTCTTTAGGTCGCTGATACTTTTTGTGACGCGAAACATTTTTGGATCTTTTCAAAATTTTATTATGCAAAACATGGTTTAATGTCGGGTTTTCTCCTAAACCATGAAACTAACTCTTCAAACTACTATAAGATACTATATTTGTACCACCATTGCTTCCACCTTAAGTATTGTCTACTAGTGCAATAAAACTAGAAAAGAAAACATTTAAATTCAAGTCTAGCTTCTAAGTGACATTACTTGTAGAGTGGTCGATAAAATGGATCTCTAACTAAATTATTTTGAACAAAGTTTATATAATCTTCAGAGAAAAACTATAAATTAAATCAGACAAGCAATTTTTTAAGCAAAAATTAACAATTAATAATAGTGTATCAAGACATGAGGTGAATATGATCAAAAAAAAAAGATTTATCAAAAATACAGTACGACAGTTCGAGTTCCGGTTAGCAGAGTTGAAAAAAAACCGGTTTTACGGTCGGATTCTAGAATGTGTATTGGGAACCGTTGATCTGGTGATATATTATATAATAATTCGTATTAGGTTTTTTCAAAAACATCTATATTTTTTCCATTTTTCATGCTTTTTAATTTATGGAAAAGCAATTTCTTCAAAAGATACAAAAAAAGAAAAAAAGTAGAAAATCCATATGATATACTCATATGCAATTAGTACCATATAAAATTTTTTGTTCAAAAGTGATTCAAAAACGATTAAATATATATAGTCTACGACAAAAATTTAAGCGAAATCAGTTGTTAAGTATTTTTTTCATATTTTTTTTTTCATATTAGAAGTAGAGATCTGATTCAAATGGTGATATAGATAGTATGAGAGTCTAGCTGTATAATGCATCAAAGAACAAGACTCTATTTATCAATATAGATTAGAAAATAATTAAAATAATAATTTCTGATCTCCTAATCAAGAGATTTTATCTAAAAATAAAAATAAATTATATCAATCGATAGAGAAATTCACGCTCTATAATTTTATGAAAAAGAATTTTTCTCTATAGTTTATCTTCACCTCTAAAACTTGGTTTTACCGAGAATGGTCGGCATTTTTCTCCATTTAAAACAATGAAAAAAGAAAAGCTAACTATATTTTCAAAACACTATTCAATAATGTAGACGTGAAAAATCAGTAATATTCGAACTTCAAATACAGTATTTTGTTCAGACTTGAATATTCTTTCTAACAGTGTATAAAACATTGTAATGAGAGGAAGTTTGTTGGAAGTAATTCACTTTTTTTCTTTTTTGCTGATTATTTTCGCTAAAACCAAGTTTTGAAGGTGAAGATAGACTATATAGAAAAATTCTTTTTCATAAAATTATAGAGCGTGAATTTCTCTATCGATTGATATAATTTATTTTTATTTTTAGATAAAATCTCTTGGTTAGGAAATCAGAAATACTAAACGGCACTTAAACCTGTTTTTGTATAGAAAAATATCATTTAAATTATTTTCTAATCTATACTGACAAATAGAGTCTTGTTCTTTGATGCGTTATGTAGCTAGACTCTTATACTATCTATATCACCATTTGAATCAGATCTCTACTTTTAATATGAAAAAAAAACTGAACAACTAATTTCGCTTAAATTTTTGTCGTAGACTATAGATGACTCTAGTCTTATGAAAAAAATTTTCGGTTCCAACAGATCTGGTTCCGGTTCTCGGTTCCAATTTTCCTGGAATCGTCGGACTCTCATCCAGGGTCCACTTGTCAGCTATTGCTGCTGGTGCGGACCTTTGCTTGAAGGTTCGATATTTTACCTATCTTCTTATTAGTTATGAAAGCATAGATTGAACAGATTGATCAATCTGATATGGGATAGATCTCGTCTAGTTCGATACACTACTTCAACATATCAAATCATAATGATATAATAATCAAAATGATTTTAGTATTCATTCAAATCAAAGATAATATTGAAATATCTGAGATGAAGATTATTGAACATTGTCTTTTCAAAATTTGCTTTGTTTTTGGTAAAAACCTACTTATATCAACAGAACCAATAAAAGTATCACTTGTGTTCAAACATTCATTTAATTGCGTCGTCGATTTTGTGAAACTATGAATCATTGTTTTCATTGGGTGTTGAAAGTGTCGTATCTCTACTGTCACTGTCATTGGTGATTTATTAGTACCATTTAATAAACTACTACCAGTACTAAAACATATATTGTATAATCCTTTTGGTGGTATTCTATTTGATGGCCAATAAATATTATCAACTTGACTACTATCACCAACTACTTCATGTCGACCTTCATCAGCAGATGAGTTAGCATGAGGATTACCAAAGTAAATGGTGTTGTTAAGCGGTGTTCGAACAATAATGTATCCTCGACTATTTCGACGAGACCATCGAGCAACAAAATTCAGTCTACCTCGTTGAACACACATATCTTCTATACATGCTTGATCCATTGTACATGTCGTTGATCCACATAAAAGAACCGCAGTGTATGTATTTTGATTGGTGTCAAATGTAATAGACATATTTGGCAGCACATAAAAAGGTTCTCGAAAAGAATACTGCATAAATGGACCACTGCTTGAAGCTAGATAATAAATTAAGGAATTGAAGAAGAACATATTTATTCATATAAATTTTTACCGTGTACACCAACAATAGCAGACCTGCCACCATCAGGTGTATTTAAATAGATAAATTGAACAAGTCCAGACTTAGCTTCAAAGAATAATACTTGAAATTGATAGTATTCTTCTTCTGAATCTGCACGACTTAAATAGTATTCAAAGACAAGCGTTCGATTAGGAGTATTGCCATAAATAGTATAAAAGATTCCTTGAGCTGTTCCATTTTTGATATACAAGTTGTCCCAGAATGGAAAAGCTGTTGCGTAAAAGAAATTGCCAGCGGGCAAGGCTGTTTGAGATTTGCCAATTGTACAGTATCCAAGGCATAAAACCTTTCGAAGAAAAGATAAATCATGCAAATATCGAGAATAGAATAAGCAAATCGAACTAATTTGAGAGACTTTTTATGTATAAGAGATGAAGAAATGTTTTTAAGGATGCAAAATACACAGTTCACAATATGATTTATGTATATTGATTAACTTTATTGGTAGATTATTGACGTTTCCTACTGTGTCACATATATTAAACTTTCATTGAACTTTTAATCATCGATAAATACAGGTTTATCATTTTAAATCAATTCTCTTGGTAATATAAATCAAAAATATAATGTAGGAGTATAAACTCTAGAAAATCTGTAACACTTGGTCAAACATAGACTTAGTTAAATACATACAAATCAAGATAGGAGCTAGTGAAAACTGGTGAATCGGAAAGTTAGTTCAGGCCGACTCGCTAGCCGACAAAACAGTCAATTGATGGATCTGTTTCTATTTTAAATCTTAATATCTTGATTTCGCAAGTTCTTTTTAACAAAAATAATTTAAATCATTTCTCATTATTTTAACAACAGACAGATGCGAGTTCTTGTAGATCTAGATCCAATCTGGGTCCGAAAGGTGTAGGTGGGATGTGGGTGTGGGTGCTCGTGAAGAGAACAGTAACATCCATATCAACATCCACACACCCCCACCCCACACCCACCCACACCCACCCGCACCCACATCCACATCCACACCCTTTTGGATTCTTGCTTTTTGATTTTCTATTTGATCACGTTTTAGATCCGTTCAATAGTGTTAAAATCACGACCATAACGCAATTTTAACGCTATTGAACTAATCTAGAACATAATCAAATAGAAAATTAAAAGTAGAAATCCAAAATCATAAGATGAACTAGAGAATGCAATCGACAAAATTTGCGCTGAGTTCTGATTAAATATCATTCAAACATGTATTCAAAAGACTCAGAAAATATATCAACAATTTGTATCTTCATATTGAATTTTTATTTGTATTATAAACATCTATACTTGTGCTATTCATATATATCCAAGAACAAAATATCTTCTGACCATAAACTCTGTATTTTAGATCACAAAAATAGGTGTAGCATTAATTTTTCCGTTGGTAATTTGGTCACACCTTAGACTTTTCTAACAACATGTTTTATTTTACCTTTGACCTTGGCACGTACATACACACACAAATGCATCTTAAGAAGATTCTACCACTATATTCATTTAAAATTTCTTATATATCCATTGTATCTATTCATTCTCCAATAGTATCATAGATATACGAATTTAACCTAAGACATTACCAGTACTTGTACTAATATTACGCTGTAATCAACCAGATGCTGTTAGCGAACACAGTATTTCTTATCAATGGCAAGTTGAAAGCGAAAGACTTACCCCATTTCTTAACAGATAAATATACTTTGTCGTTGTATTGTACAAAGTAATGTTCAATGGTATATAAACAGGAACTCGACTAGATAACTTATGAAAATGTAAGTTATCGCTAGTTCCTTGAATAAGAGCTATTGGCTTAATTAATTGAACAGTGGGTGTCATGCTACACATGCCACGAGAACAGCTCGTGTAACTAGTATTACACTTATGACCGACTTTGCCACAGTTGTTTCGATCGATTAAGATATTGACACAAGTTTCCGAAGATGTGCGAGCGTACGACCATTCACAAACGACTAAAATTATAGACTTTTACAGATAAGTGTGATGAAGATACAATATCTTCAAAAATGGATAGC